CTGCCAGGCACATAGGAGGCCCTTAAATGTTTGTTTGTTTATTTAAATTGAAATGGATTGATGTGAAATAAGCTGAAAAGGGATGCGCCCAGGATTAAATCTCAGCTCTAATGCTTATTAGTGTTTGACTCCTGGCAAACCATGGGCCAAACCTCTCCTGGCCTCAGTAGAATGCTAAGTTGGAGCCACACGGAGCCTAAAGGCCTTTCTGGCTCCAAAGCTATGCCATCTTTGGCTACATAATCACAAGACAAAGGCGTAACTGGGGTTGGTGAATTCCCAGGGACTGCTTAGCCTCAGACTTGCTTTGTCCAGCTTCTCACACCTGTTTCATCCTGAGTTGTGTTTGTTTTTAATTCCATGAGAAGGTTCCTTGATATCATTGGAAGGGACCTGACAGCTGGAGCCTGGCTGGAGTCCGGCCCTGCAGCCTCGAGGCTACCCCACCTATCCTCCCCACCTCACGCTCAGTTCCACTGTCCAATGACAACCCCATCCCAAGCCATGACCTCAGGGAAACATCTGGCTTTGGGATCCCAATTAGGGGCCCAAGGCCTATTCCGACAAAGCTCTAGCCAGGAAACTTGGATGACATGGAAGGAGAGGAGCCCTCCAGACCAGCCCTGGTGGGAGGGGTCCCACAAAGTATCAGTCAGGAGAAAGGGGACAGCCATCTGGAACATGCAGGAAGGAGAAAACTTCCGAGAGTGCAGTCAGAGGCTCCCAAAGGACTCACAGAGGCGGCAAATTTCATGCAGGGTGGGAGTGCCCTACGAACCCCTCCCTCAGTGTTTACTCTTTTTTTTTTTTTTAATTTTTTGGCAACTGGGGTTAAGTGACTTGCCCAGGGTCACACAGCTAGTAAGTGTCAAGTGTTTGGTCAGAGGCCGGATTTGAACTCAGGTCCTCCTGACTTCAGGGCCGGTGCTCTATCCACTGTGCCACCTAGCTGCCCCTGTGTTTCCTCTTTAGGACCATGAACACAATTGCCTGTCAGGCCAGTGTCTGTAATCCCAAGTAGGAGCTAAAATGGAAACTGGAAATCTCACCCACTTCTGATTCTCCCAAAGAGGGCCCTTCCTTTGACCGGTTTCTGGCTTACCCTCTTACCTGCTTCCATTGAAGCCACCTTTTTCCCCCATGGGTCAGAAGACAATTGGACAGAAAGTGATTTAAATTTTAATCCAGACCATGCTTAATTAGGGAACCCAATTAAATTCAACAAATCACAAGCACTCATCCAATTCAATCAGATCTAACAAGCATGTGTTAAGTGATTACTATTCATTCAGTTAGCATTTATTAAGCAAGCTTGAAATATGAGCTAGAAATAGTACTAATGGTGGGAAGAAACATGGCGTCATAATAACTAGAAATCTGGCCTCAGGGGCAGGAAGGCCTGACACATACTGATGGTATTACCCTGGGCAAGTCACTTAATCTCTGTTTGCCTCTGCTTCCTCATCTCTAAAATGGGGATAATAACAGTCCCTACCTCCCAGAGTTATTATGAAGATCAAATAAGATAATATTTTTACAGCACTTAGCACAATGCCTGGCACACAGGAGGTGATTAATAAATGCTTATCCCCTTTCCCTCCTCCTCCTCCTCCATCTCTACATTGAAGCTATAAACTCTAAATCACATGAATGAAGATCTATCATTTGGGGACCTTTTGCCATCCGGAATGATCATGCTCACAGCACGGGCCATAGAATTAGGAGGAGCTGGAAGCCAAGCACAGGAGACTGGGAACCACCAGACTGAAAGGATCTTCTTCTCTGGTCTCCTGCAGGACCTGACATTGAGAGCACGGTTGCCTGATTCCTCTCAGTGCCCAGGGAGGGCTGACACATTAGCAAGAATGAGTGCATCTACTTCTAGGGCTGTATCCCAAAGAGATCACACAAATGGGAAAAGGACCCACATGCACAAAAATATTGATAGCAGCTCTTTTGGTGGTGGCCAAGAATTGGAAATTGAGAGGCTGCCCATCAATTGGGGAATGGCTGAACAAGTTGTGGTATGTGAATGTAATGGAATACTACTGTGCTACAAGAAATGATGAGCAGGCAGACTTCAGAAAAACCTGGAAAGACTTGTATGGTCTGATGCTGAGTGAAGTGAGCAGAACGTTGTACACGGTAACAGCCAGGTTGTACAATGACTGACTTTGATAGACTTAGCCCTTCTCAGAAATACAAGGATCCAAGACATCTCCAAAGGCCTCATGATAGTAAATGCCATCCACATCCAAAGAAAGAACTATGGAGTTTGAATGCAGATCGAAGCATACTATTTGCTGTTTTTTTCCTTCTGTTGTGTTTTGTTTCCTCTCTCTGGTGGTTCCTTCTATTGGTTCTAATTCTTACTTACAACATCACTAATGTGAAAATGTTTAATAGCAATGTATATGTATAGCCTATATTAGATTGTGCGCTGTCTTGGGGAGGGTGGTGGGGAAGAAGGGGGATAAAAATTTTAAAGTCAAAAGCCTATGGAAGTGATTGTTGATAAATCAAAATAAATTAATTTAAAAAAATTTTTAAATAAATAAATAAAAATTAAAAAAAAAAAAAAGAAAGAGTACATCTGGCTGACTCATCACCACCATGGTTAGGCAGAAGCACGGGGTCTGGCGAGCATGGCACCCAGGATTGCTGAGCTTAGACGGGGCTTGGACACCCTGGAGTTTGGCCATCTGGACAAGGTCACTGCAGAGGCTGGCCTCTGGGCTCGCTGGAAGCAGCACCGTATGACCAAGAGTCTGAGGAAAACAGAAGGCTCTGTTCTCTTTCTCTCCTCCACTCTCTGGCACCCGCCCCCCTTTCCGGTCTTCCCTTACACCACCCTTCTTCAGAAACACTTGGGGTGCCAAGGTTACCATTCTTACCTCCTGCTGCCTCTCCCACCTAGAATTGTGGTTGGTCAGTCATTTCAGTTGTGTCTGACTCTTTGAGACCCCACCTGAGGTTTTCTTGGCAAAGATACTGGAGTGAAACCATTCCTTCTCCAGCTACCTGGAGGCCGCCCCTCCATTCTTCAAACGCCTGAAACCCGCTGAAATCCTTCTCTTCTTTCAGCTCAGCCCAGGGGTCACTCCTTCTGTACTGCCATCCGTGACCCCCCAGATTATGCTGGTGTCTCCCTGAATATTTCCCAGGGAGCTATGCCTTCCCCCTTGCCTCAGTCACACCTCACTTTACATCATATTTGTTTGTGTCATCCCCACAACTGACTACAAGCTTTCTAAGGAGAGCAACAATGCTTTGTTTTGTTCTTTTTTTAAGTCTCCCAGGCCCTCATATGCAGTGGGAACTTGTGGGAGAGACAGTTTAGCCAAGTGGAGTCAGAAATCCCTAGATTCCCATCTCACTTTCAATACTTACTAACCTCGTGACCTTAGGAAAATCTCCTAATCTGTCTCAGACTCAATTCGCACAGCTGGGGAATGGTGGCTCCATTGTGCAGCTTTAGGATATCTTAAAGAGCACAGCTCTGCAGCACACCCAGCAGTGAGACATTCCCCCACACCACCATTCAGTCTGGGTTGTTTCAGACATGGTCAAAGGGAAAGAGGGAGACAGAGAGAGAGAGAGAGAGAGAAAGAGAAGAGGAGAGGAGAGGAGAGGGAAGGAGAAAAGGAGGGAGAGAGTGGGAAAGAAAAGGGAAGGAGGGAGAGGGGAAGAGAAGAGGAGAGGAGAAAAATAGAGAAGAGAGAGGGAGGAAGAGGAGAAAAGAGGGAAGGAGAGAGAGAGAAGGGGGAAGAGAATGAGAGAGGGAAAGAGAGAATATGCCCAGGTACTGAATTTTTCTGTTTCTTTCTAGGGACAGAAGGCACCCAGACAGATGGCTTGCTCCCATCAGAGGATGTGATGGCCACAGGACACACCGCCCAGCCCAACCCTGCCCCCAGCCCCAACACACACAGCTCAGGCCCTGGCTCTGGCCCTGGCCTCTCCCCACATGTCTCTACAGCAGCTCAGGGTGGACCTGAGGCCAGGTCAAAGGCAACAGAATCTCAGAGTTGAAAGTGACCTCATCACCCATGAAGCCCAGCTCCTCTCTGAACCAGAATCTCTTCTATACTATCGCTGACAGTGGTCATGGGAACTCTGCTCGAAGCCTTCCAGTGAGGGAGAACTTACTACCAAGTTCTCCAAGGCAGCTCACTGCACTCTGGCATGGCTCTGATAATACTAGGAACTTCTTCCTCACATTAGATTAAAATACACTCTTTCCCCAGTTCCATTCATTGTCCCTGACTCATCCCTTGAGCCCAAGCAGAATAAGCGTAATCCCTCTTCCACATGACAGTCCTTCAAATACCTGAGGACAGACATTATGTCCCCTATTACGATGAAATAATGCTGTCCACTGGACACAGATTAAGACTGATGACTCACGACCTCAGCCAGAGTTCTGCCATCCATGGTACAATTTAGCCAGGCACACTGGCAGTCAAGCAGGTCTGGTGAGCAGGGGCCCATTTTTACTTGTGGTGGAATCAAAGAAACACAGGGTCATAGGAAGAGAGACTTAGAGCAAGAAGGCAGCTTAGAGACCATCTAGTCCAACCCCCTCTTTCTGCAGACATCAGAAACCCGAGGTTAAGAGCTTTGCCCAAGAATCCCATCATTAATAGGCAGACCACAGAGCTGAGAGATTCTGCCAGGCTGTGGAAAAGACGATTTCTCTCTCTAGACCTTCTAGTCAGTTTCATATTTGCCAGTTTCACACTCGCCAGTTTTACACTCATGAGTTTCACACTCATAGGTTTCACTCATCAGTCTCACACTCGCCAGTTTCACACTCTTTGGTTTCACTCATTAGTCTCACACTCCTTGGTTTCACACTCGCCAGTCTCACACTCGCTGGTTTCACACTTGTCAATTTCATACTTGCCAGTTTCAAATACAGGCTTCCTGTATAGAACATGTATAGTTTACATTTCTGAGACAGAAGGAAACCACCAGTGGGGGCCTCACAAAGAGCTTACCGTGGCTGATGCCGCACCACATCTTGGCAGTGGAAGGTGACGCTCTGAGGACTCTCACTGGCTGGGGCTCCTGCTCTTCCCTGCCATTCAGATGGATTAGGAGAGACATTCTCTGGCTCCTATGAAAAGCAACAGAAAGAGAGAGTAGGCATGGTCAATGGCAATCGGTGGGAACAGAGAGAGCCCTCAGCTTGCAGGAACATGGCGGGGCAGGTGAGGATTACAAAGGATTCTAGATTCAGAGTCAGACAGTAACATCAAGGTCATCTAGTCCAACCTGCTCATTGTAGAGCTGAGGAAAATGAGGTCCAAAGAGGTGACAGAGGCCAGAGGCACATAGGGAGTTGAGTGATGATGCCAACATTTGAAACTAGGTCCTCTGACTTCAAACCCAATGCTCTTTCTATTACCTTTCAGCATCTCTTGTAGACATTTCTACACTCATATTTGAATAGAGGAAGAGCACGGTTCCCTTGACTAGAAAAACTTTTAAAAGATTTTTGTTTCCCTTAATAGCACAGTGTGACAAATGTTGGCCTGGGAACCTCAAACAGCCATTGTCCCCAACCTCCAAATTACTATTTAATCTCAAGCCTGAGTCAGTCCACAAAAAAAAGCTGATAGGGCAAATGCACGTGCACACACACTCACACACACACACACACACACACACACACGCTATTACTAATGACAACTGATATTCATAGAGCATTTTAAGACAATCCCTTAGGGGAGACACTGAAAGTATTATAACATTCATTTTTACAAATGAGAATACTGAGCCTCAAAGAGAGGCAGTCAGGTGGTGCAATGGATAGAATGCTAGGCTGAGAGTCACGAAGACCTGACTTCAAATCTAGCCTCAGAAACTTCCTAGCTGTGTGACCTTGGGCAAGTCACTTAACCTCTGTGCCATTGGAGAAGGAAATAGAAAACCACTCCAGTACCTTCACCAAGGGAATCCTAAGGTCACTAAGGTCACTAAGAATTGGACACAAATGAAACAACTAAACAAAAACAGCCTTGAAGAGGTGAAGGGGCTTCCCCAGGATCACACAGCTGCACAACTGGTAAGTGTTTAGAAGCAGAATTTGAACTCAGATCTCTCCTGATTCCAGGTCCAGTATTCTATCCATACTCCACACTACCTCTACTCCTGTGTGTGAACTCAAGGAATCAATGTCAGAGATAGCCCTGTGTCTTAAGACGGTGCAGCTTACGCTGATAGGCAGACACACAGCATGTTCTCCCTCTCTCTCTCTGTCTTTCACAAATACACAAACACACACACACACACACTTTCTCAAATGAGATAACATGCATACTGTGTGCTGCTTTGCAAATTTTATATAAATACTAGCCATTATTATTACACTCTACTTGTACTACATATGTATTATTACACAAGGAGGCTTATGTCACCCTTCAAAGGACAGTGCTGTGCCTTAAAACAGCTGAGCTCACACTCACATACACACACACACTTGCACCTCCACACACACTCAGGTTCTTATACACACAGTATTACAGTGAGCAGCCAGACATCCAGTAACATCCCCAGACTGGCCATTTACACACACACACACACACACACACACACACACACTCACTCACATCTCCACACACACTCAGGCTCTCATACACACAGAATTACAGCGAGCAGCCAGACATCCAGTAACATCCCCAGACTGGCCATTTACACACACACACACACACACACTCACACTCACACTCACTCACATCTCCACACACACTCAGGCTGTCATACACACAGAATTACAGCAAGCAGCCAGACATCCAGTAACATCC